TTGACCCAATCGATCCTTAGAAAAATAATTGCTTTTCATATTCCACAGGAATTATCCACTTTGAAACACTAGATACAAAACATGAGCTAAAACAAGATTTTAAAAATTGGAAGAAATAACCTGCTGTGGTATTTCCACTAAATTACCATTAATAACTGAGGCTGGGGAAGTTCCTGTGAAGGCTGCATCGACTCCCTTCACAGCCAGCTGAGGAACAGGCACCTCTAGACCAGGACTCGGATTACTTTTTGTAGAGGTTTACCTTCAGGCGGGATGAATTACATCCCAGAAGTGTCTCATTTCCTCATTTTCATTACAAAGAGAAGCCAAGGGGCTTACTGATAGCATAGTACCACCACCACACCTCCTGAATCCCACCCAGGCTGTCTGACTAAGAAACACTCTGACACAGCCCTTGAAGTGCAGCCCACCGTGTAGGGAGCTCTCAGCCGGCAGCAAAAGGCATCTGGAAGCAGGGCAATCACAACAGTTAGAGATTTGCACCTAAGTTTAAGAGCCCAATAGTGGCAGGTAGCCATGTTATCAAAGAAAACTTATTTCAACACTGCTCTTCTCTCAGAATACATTTTACCCTGCTGTTCAGCTGTGTTAGGCTGATGAAGGTAGGCTTGTCTTATAGCATGAAAAGTGTAAGACAGTTCTGCTCCTGCCTTCTTGAAGATTATAAAACAATCTATGCTTATACTCCAGTTCCCTAAGGCATTAGCAGAACACTCACTACAGACATTTTAGCCCTCTTTGGAAGAGCTATAGTCCCTCTAAAGAGTCACTGTCTTCAAAGGAAAGGGGAAAAACAGCATCCAAAGAAATGTGAAACTTCATGAATTTATCAGCTGCCACATTAGAGGTCAAAAGCAGATATTTCAAAGTAATTTTAGTGCCTTTCATAAACAACAAGAGAGAGTTCACCAGAACTGATCTAGTTTGTCCACAGAGACCATATCCATTTCTAAAGAGAAGGTGAAATAAAACTCAAGAGGAAAAAAAAAAAAAAGAGGAAATTGACCTTGTTCATGATTTGTGGAGTGTGGGATGGATGAAAGGTCTTTAGCTCCTTAATGTAGCTTTTTCTGTCTATTCTCATTTCAAGGAGCTTTACTTTTGGTCACACACAGCTTGAGGCTTGCACCCAGCAAATCATGTCTGCTTTTCTAGAACATGACTGGTGTACAGCAAAGCTACTGGATTTGTAACTCCACAGTCTCCCCGCTTCCTTAGCACAGCCCACCTTCTCACCTGCACCTAAGCTTTCATGGAACGTGTGACAGATTGGTTCTTTCATGCAAAGAAAAGGAGAAAAATTCTCAAATGCCTTCAAATTTCCATAGTAAAAATTAAAAAATGAAGGCTCCACACTTCCTGTCTTGCTGTTGGGTTCATACCCCAGTCAAATGAGACGTGTGGTTTATCTGCAAGAGTTAAACCAGTTTTTGTGCAACAGTGATTTCACAAAAGCTGAGGAGAATTTCAACATGGAGCTATCTGCTTAAAGTGACTGTCTCCCCACTCTGCACAAAACCAGATGTTGAGCAGTCTTACCTTCCAAAACCTTGACTCAGGCAGCAGCTGCTCCCTCCCTCTCAGCATGGGGGATGCCCGGGAGAAACAGAAGCAATTCTCCCCTGTGCAACCGATCCCCTCTGTTAAAAACGCCAATCACTTGTTTTTCTAACTTTAAAAGTTTAATAGTAATAAAATGGTTATTAAAATAGTAATACAATTAGAGTAATAATAATTTGGACAATTTGAATTAGGACAATATGAGACATCAAATACAAAGAGTTACGGACGTCCAAGTACCTTTTTCTGGGTAGCACGAGGCCGAAAAAGGACCCAAGTTAACAAAGGATTAACCCTTAAAAGCAATAGCCTGTTGCATATTCATCCACTTCATACATGACGCATAAATTCCATTCAAATACAGGATTCTGTCTGGTCATCGTCAACTTCTTCCTCCGAATCCTAACAGCACCTTCGAGGCGGGAAGAAGTTCATTTCTTCTGATAAGAGGGCAATAAATTCTTTTTCTCTGAAAGATTTAGGTGTCCTGTGGCTGCTATCTCGCTGCGAGTCCTTTCTTTAAAAAAAGTATCCTACATAGCATCGTTTCTATTTTAACAATTTTTATAGCCTAAAACTATATTTAACACAGTACTTAAGAGAATTAATACAGCATTACTTTCTAAAACAACACATATAATCATTTTAATATTTGTGAAAAGCCAATCATAAAATACATGCATTTTTCACACTCTCCAAGGCACGTCCACCTTCAATCCGTGGTAGGTGCGCCCACCCCCTCATCAACACGGGAAAGGCCTCCCGTCACCCTCGTGTAACGCCGAGGGCGGGGGGGCGCGGGAGCTGGATTCCCTCCCCCGCCAAGGGCAGCTTTTCCCCGGAGGACCTCAGAGGCTCAGCTCAGGCCTGGGGGTGTTGCAGGTGCGGCGCCCACAGACGGCTCCAAGGGGCTGCCCCGGGCCAAACCCCGGCGGAGGGCAGGGACCCCGCAGCACCGCGGGGGGAGGCTGCCTCGCGTAGGGACATGGGTTGTCAGCAGAAAGGCTTCAGCCGTGTGGCTCCATAGCTCAGTGGTTAGAGCACTGGTCTTGTAAACCAGGGGTCGCGAGTTCGATCCTCGCTGGGGCCTCTAGAGGTTTTCGTGGTACTATTTTACTTAATTGTTGTTTCTCCCCTAACCGACCTGGGGGGTTCCGGGAAAAGCGAGCGGCGGGGGTCGCCTTTTGCACGGCGCCTACAGAGGGCGGCGGTGGGAGACGACCGAAACGTCGGAGCTCCAAACTGACGACGTGGGCTCGGCTGCCTCCGGGGATAGGAGCGCAAGGGCGGTCCCAGCTCCGCTTCTCAAATCAATCATTTCCTGGATCTGAACACCGGAGTTGTTACGGCGCCGGATTGTTCTACGGGTTGTCCATCGCGTAGAATCTGGAGTCGCAGGATGGTTCCTGCCTGTGGCTCGGCTCTAACGCGCAGTTTTGGGGGGGTTTGCTTGGCTTCTAGTGCTTTGATTGTGTTGGTGTTTCAGAGTTGCTGGACATTTCCAGCCCTTACTGGACCCTATGAAAGCTGCAGGTGAGCCTTACCTTGAAAAAATATTCATAGTATAATTTAGACTGGAAGGGACTTTAAAGATCATCACATTCCAAGCCCATGCCATGGCCAGGGACACCTTCCACTAGACCACGTTGCTCAGAGCCCCATCCAACCTGGCTTTGAACACTTCCATGGATGGGACATCCACAACTTCTCCGGGCAACCTTTGCCAGTGCCTCACTGCCCTCACAGTGAAGATTTTCTTCCTAATATTTAATCTAAACCTCCCCTCTGTCAGTTTGAAGCCTTTTGCCCTTGTCCTGTCACTACCTGCCCTTATAAAAAGTCCATCTCCAGCTTTCTTGTGGGCCTCCTTCAGGGACTACAAGGCTGCTATAAGATTTCCCCAAGATTCTCTCATAGTAGAAGTGCTCCAGCCCTCTGAGCATCTTAGTTGTCCTCCTTCAAAATATAAAATCTAATTACATTGTCTGAAAGACAACTATTCTTGAAACACACTTTTCCCTGCATTTCAGCTAAATGACAAAAAAAAAAAAAAATAAAGGTGGGGTAACTGACATGTCTATTCTATATTCTTCAAGAGAAGATTAAAGTCCTGAAATTTAGAGTCAGATTTATTAAACAGTCATACACATCCAAATCTTACCAGAATGTCCACCACAGGCTCTCATAACCACTTATGTCAGAAAAGGACATCACAGCAGGATTTGGAAGCTGGTGCTGTTAAAGTTTAATGTTCAATAGAACATATGTAGAGACTGCTAACACTGCCATTAATAGGGACACACCTGGGAGCACGGCATAACAAGTCAGCCAAAATCTCTTTCATTTGGTCACTATTCAACACTTTTGTTTCACCATTTTATAAGCTACTTGCTTTTTCTGGGACATCACTGAGCTTCAAAAGCTATTTTGCTTGTCTTCTTCACTTTTACCTTAGGTAGGGCTGCTTTCTTTGGAAGAACCTCCTTGATTCTGGCTAGGTGGGAGCTCTTCTCTTTTGGCAAAGGTGGTGCTGGTGCAGTTCTGGATTTGTGTCCAGTCTTCTTTCCCTTGTGAGGTTTAGCCTCAGCTTTGATTCTCTGTCTCTACCAGATGGAGCTGGTTTTCCTGTTGATGCTTTTACTTTGGTGGATGTGGTCTTTTTGCTTTCTTATAAGAAACTCTTGGGGTGGCTGCAGTGAGGGTAGAAGGTTTTTTTGAAGGCATGGTTCTTGAAGGTTCATTTAGCAGCTCAAGGACAGTCTCTGAGTAAAGTAATTAACATGGTTTAGCCTTCCTGCTTTAAGGCAAAAGGCTTATTCAGAGATATGATTGAGAGAAACACTTACTAGACCTATAGTCAAGAAAAAGAGCTGAAATTATGCAAGAAGAAATGCATACTATAAACCTCTCTTCTTCCATCAAAAGACCCTTGTTTTTCTTGGAAATAAAATTATTGATTTTAGAAATTATGAATGTGTTATTTAAGGAAAATTACTTCCAGACAGAATGTAATAAAATCTTGCACACTTCTCTAGTAGACTTAAAAATATTAATTGTTCAAAATACACTAATATCTGGAAATCCCTGACAAAATAATATCAACTTGCTAAACATTGGTTTCTACTCAGGATGTAACTCCTGCCCCAGCTGCATGGGACTTAAAGAAAGAATGCAGCTTGGAAAAAGGAAGATTGAAAACTTAGGGGAAAAAAAATAATCAGGGACTGGGGTTAAGCAAAGGCACAGCATCAAGTAGACAGCAGAACCTGTGTTTGATTATCACATAAATGTGATAACCAACCTTCGGGATTGCTCCTGCTCAGTAGTTGTTAAGACTCCTGAAGGTTTCAATCACATGCCTGTAAGTTTGTGTATATGTTTTTTTTCTCATTAAAATCAAAGCCTGACAACTTACTTGCTCATGGAAGAAATGGTATCCGTTTGCTCTTTGTTTTCATTGGAACAGGCTTGTATTTACACTTCCCTGGTGGAGCTCTCCTTGGAAAACAGAAAGGCAGATGCAGGCATCTGAGAGATTGTTAGGGAAGTTTATTTATTCCATAGGCACACACCAATTCCCTGTTCTCATTTGCCTCTGGTGGAAGAGGCATGAAATCACTTTAGGCACCTGAATGCAGCACAGGTGGAATTCAAGAGGCTGACACAGGGCTGGCAAGCCATAAAATCCCTGTCCCAACAGCAGCTGGTGAACGTGACTTTCACTGGGATTTTCTTTGGATACAACAGTGCTGCAGCAAGAGGGGTGATAAAGGAGAGGAACAGGCACAGAGGGAGGGAAGCACAACTACAAAGAAATGTGTCTGTGTTCCTCTCCTCTGTCCCCTGACAACTCCCCACAGTACAAAAGCACCAAAACAAAAACCAACTGAACACATATTCCCTGAGGTAAAGATGTTGCACATTAAGTGACAGGAAGAGAGGTACAAAGAACCACAACACACCTGTGTTCTCTGTTACCCACCAAGAGAACTGCTGTAGGACAAATAAGAGCAGGTTCTTCCAATTTGGCATGCTTGACAGCACCAAACAAAGCAAAGCATGACCTAAGGCATCATATTTTCTTGTGATTAGCATTCTCCTTCAGACAATCGCAAGAGCCAAGTGCTTCCTCTACACCACTTCAATTTTTTTTTAAAGGTTACTTAAGCAGAGTTGCAGGTATTGCTTGTGGGGCTTTTTCCCTTCATCTCTCTCCTCTCTGATTTTAAAATTACATTCTAACTCATTTTCTCTCTGCTCGGGACAGAAGGAATTTGGTGCCACCCTGCTGTCTCCAAGAGTACTGCTGCAGAGGCAAGCTAAAGTGGGGACAAAGGGCACTGCTGCCATCAGCTTTCCTGGCAGGTTCCTTGGGAAGTCTGAGTTGCCATCAGGCACATGACAGCGGCCCTGGAAATGTTTTGGAAGCAAGAGTTTGTATGGCTTGCTGTCCGTGCCAGTGAACTTCCTGCCATGTGGGTAGGAGACAGGGAATGCTGGATTCACTGCCTGGGACTGTGCCCAGCAGAGAAGCCAGCTATCGCCAGGAAAAATCCTATAAACAGCAGTAAAATCAAAGGAGAAAGGTTCATGAGGAGACCAGAGTCACTCCAGGAGCTGGAGGTGTCAGGACTGTGCTCCAGAGCCTGCTCAGGCTTCAAGGAGCTCTGCACAGCCTGCACACGCCTGCAAAGTGCAAACAGGCCAGGGCAGAGCTGACACAGCCCCATCCAGGCTAAGGCAAACAAGGGGAACTGGAAAATGCAGGAAAAGATTTTAAGAGCCAAGGGAGTAAGTGCCTGGTCCTGTTCTAGAAGTGATGGACACAAAGCTTCAAAAGCACAGGGTCTTCATGACACATTAAGGAGTGGCATACAGACAAAAAAGATATATTTGTTTTGATAAATAGATCCTGCTCAAGCTCTTGATGTTTATGCATGGTCATATATATATATATATATATATATATATATATTTTTTTTTTTTTAGTCCCTCACAGTAAATGCACTTCCTGGCAGATGATAAGCTATTAAATGCAGAAATCTCCTTGAGAAGTAAAAGATTCAAGTTCTGTTCCCATCACCTTGGTACATAGTTTGAGTTAACAACCTAGCTTTGGATCTAACTTCTCAAGAAAACACAGTTTGTTTTCTTCATTTTGTGAATGTCCAAGATCTCTGCAAAAGCACAAACACATTTGTACTGTATCTGTTCTACAGAGTGATTTGAAACCATTTAATGTTTTTTAGCAAAATGGGAAAGCTAGGGAGGCAAAAAAAAACCTATAAGTGTGCTTATTGTTCTAAAAACAGACTTTAGCAGGTATAACTGTTTGATGGGGAAAAACATTTTGCTTGGAAAAACTCAGGATTAGGCTCCAGTTATTATTTGAGCACTGCATGAACCACCAGGTTTCTCTCATCTTTGTAAAGAAAACTGTGGAGTGCTATTTATTTTTTATTTATACTAATGTGCATCATAGATACTTGATATAATGAACCTAAAAGATATGGACTGTCCGTTTTAAGTCATTGCTTTGCTGTAATTCAGATATACAACCAAGGAAACTTTCTTTTAATCCTTAACTCTCCCAGATCTTCAAGGAATTTGAACTCTATTTCCTATTTCTCTGTGCACAGATATGATGAGTGAGGAACAAATTCACTCAAAACTGATTAAAGTTGCACCAGAGGTACAGTGTGTAAACAAAACCCAAGGACTGGATGCAGATGTCAGTGATTTTGTATCAGTAGTACTTGGTATTCTTTTACTGTGATAGCTGGAGAGTGGTAACTATAGAAGAATTTAGCATGGAAATACATCTTTAATTACAAACCTTGCAGGATCGATGAGCTTGTAGAGCGATCCACGTGGTGTATAGGCACTGGGATAAGAAGTAGACATAAAATACAGTTCACCACCTAAATGGAAGTGAAAAAAGAAAACTGGTCTTAGATTCAAGTGCCCAAGCTGGATCCCAGTTCTCCATTTCCCTCTTTCCTGGCTTTTCAGTAATTCATGTAGTCAGAAAAGGAAACTCCTTCAGTTACCCCCTCAGCCATGCCTTATGTTCAAGAAATGGCTTTGTTCTCACCCTGCCCTGTGCCAGTGGGCTCCCAGAAACACCAAATGACCTCCTGGCTGCAGCAGGGTTCCACACAGAACCAGCAGCTCTCTTTCAGGCAGCACCTTCATTACCTCACCTCTGTGGCTCTGTAAAGGTTGCTTTCCTCTGTATAAATAGATATTTCTTAAAACTTGTTTGTACCAAAGAAGCAGCCAGAAACTACAAATAGAGGGGAAGACCACACAAAAAATATATTTTCCATTTCATAATCATACCAAAAAGGAAAAAATTCAGCAAGAGCTACATTAGTTAATCTGTGGAAGACAGAAACTTCTCATTTCTGTCTGGTAACTGGAAGACAAATGCTCCTTGTGCCTTCCCTTCAGCACTCACTAGAACAATATCCAGGGGAAAAGGAAATTAGAGTATCTTGCAAGAGGCAAAGCTGTTGTTGTCTTTCAAACTACATAACACCATGTTGGTTTCTAAAAGGCCACCAAAAGAAGAGACATTTCACATTCACTCACTCCATGTGTTAGAACAGTTAAAAACTGTACACATTTTACAGCAAAGCCTGCATCTCCATGCAGCTCTGACAGAATATGCTAGGCAGAAAATCTAGGATCTTTTCCTGGCAAGCAAATCTCTTTTCTGCTGAATGATCAAGTGCTAAAATGCACCTGTGCTTTCCAAAAACTTGCAGCTTCTTTTTGTATTACATAGCTCTGTCAGGAGGCTGTAGAAAAGCAAACATTCATGTTCATTGATACTTCCACCTTGGTGGGAGATCTGGTCCTTGTGACCTTAGTAGTGTCCCATGTGCTGAGGCCTTTACTTTTAAATGAGTGGCTTTCCTGATCCCCAAATAAAGTCCTGGTCTATGATCCACAGTGTGAATTGTGGATTGTTGTGAATAAGACTGAGGAATTTATACTAAGGAAGCAGGAGAAGTTCAGAGAAGCTCTAAGAACTCAAGTGAGGATGGGATGGTATAATGAAAAAGTGAACTGCATTGATATGGTCTTTTGATTAGTGAAAGAGTACAAAAGACCAACAATAAAAGGAAAGTTTCACATGAGATTCGGTTTCTTGAGCTTTTCATCAACCTGATCTGCAACAACTTCACAGGGCAGGAGACCTCCCTCAGCCACAGACCAGCCCCCATGCTGAGCCAGCCATAAACCTCTCAGCACTGCCTGCTCTCCAGGCACCCCTCAGGAACCACAGAACTTTGCACATTTTCCATACAGTAGAGAACAGATTGTACAGTTTCCATTGAAAGTGTGGCCAGCACGATACCCACCTGCTTCATCCTCAGCAAAGGAGATGATGAATTTGCTGTAGGAACTGATCATTCCAGGGAAAGCACAAGCTGTTGTACTGCCAACACAGATATCCTGCTTCTTCCACTTATTTGTCTTATCTTCCTGTAAAGCCATAAGTTGACTAGATGAAAAATAAACCCCTGTGTTTTATGTCTCCATCATCAAAATTAGTTCCTGTCAAAATCATGCATTACTGAAACAAAAAAAGCAGTCAGTGAAGACTGTGACTGTTGGCTGGATTTTGGAGAAACAGACCTGAACAAAAGCAAACTTATCCTAAGGATTCTGAAATGGAGGAAGTTTAAATTCCAGCAAAAATGTTGTTGTAATAGTCAAACACAGAACTTACTCTATATCCAAGTTTCTCATCCACTCCAGCCCAAAAGGTTTTGGGATGGTCCAATAAACTTATTTGCCCAGACAAGGAAAATGTGGGTATAGAATGGGAGCTGCAGAGGAAACAATCAGACTCACTTGCTCAGGAAATCACCAAAAATATAAAGGCCATTCAAGTTGGGTGATTCACATCCCCTGTAGACAAAGCCTCCAGGAACTGACTTGCCCACACTGCAGCCATATGCAAATATTGGCAGAATGTCATCTGTCAAACACACAGAAATACAAAGTAAAAAAGTTTACTTTCAGAGAGCATCAAAAAGCAGTTGCTCAATGACACTGACAGGTACAAAAATTACTAGAAGGACCAATACAGTTTAACATTAGTGAAATTTCAGTGGTAATTAAGCAGTTTACTCTGGGACAGAACAGATCCAGGGGCTTTAAGGACCTCTCTGTGTAGTTGCTTATCAAGGCTTAGTCATGATGAGCTTCCATAAGACAAAAACCAAGATTCTCTACATCAAGAAGCAATGCAGGAAGGCATCAGCCTGCAGCAAGTGTTATCTTATTTATATGTGACTGTACCAGTCACTTTAGCAGGGATCATCTTTACCAATTCCAGTATTTTTAGAGAAGGGAAAAAGATCAAAACTGTAAGTGAGCTCAACATCTTCATGGGTTCACTGACACAACACAGAGCATGAGTGTGAAATGAGTGTGCTCTCACCATTTTATGTCATGAGACTTGTAAAATAAAGACTCTGCCTCTGGCAATGTTAAAAGAATTCAGTCCTTTCTCATATTGAATTATCAGATTCCACAGAATTTTATTCTTGTCCTCACTTTTTTCTCTGCATTAATGTCAATAATACATACTCTACACTTGTCTTCTCATCCAATTGTTCCAGAAACATCTGCAGGACCTTGAGACCAGGTGTCTTCACCAAACAGCTGAAGGAACATTATTATACTACTCAGTTTTTCTACCATGCTTTTGCCAAGAGCTTTGCAAAGACCACCAATTTCTGTTTTTTAAAGGCAGCAAGTGTGTTTCGTCCATCACACCCACAGTCAGACCCAGAGCACAGCTTTTGGGCATTCTGCTGCAGCACTTTGCTGGCTGGGACACACTACATCTGTCACAGGTTTGGTTCAGGATTTCAGCATCAGCCTGGTCCTCTGTCCTTAGCCACAGTCATGGCTCAGAGCTTCTGGAGAAAACACAGTATCACTTTCTACTTAAATAAAATCCATTGTCCTCCTGGCTTTACTGGGAAAACTGTCCACAAAAGATACAGGCTTTGAATTTAAACACCTTGTCCAGTGTAGTGTGGGGCAGAGAACTCCCTGCATAAGTAGAGCAACATTCCATAGCAATACAGCAGGGCTGGGGAAAAGGGATTTCTGATCTTAAAAAGCAGACGAATTCCATTTAATATACAACACTGGATTATTTAGCTTCACTGAAAAAACAGTGCTATAGTCCACTAAATATACACATATAGTAATCTTCTACAAGAAAGTTCTTCCTTACCCATGGAGGAGTTGTGGCAAAGCTTTGTGTCATAGCATTCAAATCCCTCCTTTGCTCTCCAGCTATAGTTCCCTCCTTTAACAATGAGGTTGAGGTTGATTTCCTCAAACCTGTTCTACCCAACATCCCCACAGAATATCCTCCCTCTTCCCTTTTTTGTGATAGGGTCCCCTCTGTCCACTGCACAGCACCATATTCCTGACTCCATAGGCATAAACCTCTGGGCAGGCTTTGGGATCAGACATGAATGGATTATCAGGAGGGATGCGGTTAGGCTTTCCATCAGGGTTTCTTCCATCCACATCAATCCTCAACACTTTCCCCAACAAAGTGCTCCTAAAGGCAGAAAAAAGAAACCACAGCATGAGAGCCATCTGAAAACACAAAAATTCCCTTCTTCTCCTTGCCCATTTTCAAAGGATATATTATCTGCCTAGAAGAAATAAACCAGAGGCAGGTATGTCTTGCAACCCACTTAAGCAAGAAAACTCTCTTTTCTCTAAACAACTTGACTTTAAACATCTCAAATGTTCATTTTTGAAATACTGCTTTGGACAGATTTGCAGATGCATAAGCATTTTCAGGAAGCACTCTTACTCTATTCTTCCACATTTTCTCCTTTCCAAACCTTGTATCTTGGTGAACACGCTCAAAGCTTTCACCTGCCCTCCTACTTACTTGTTCTGAGCATTCCCAAATTTTCCAAAAGGGTCTCCAGCTTTCCCTCCATCTCCTGTGAATACATACAAATAGCCATCCACACCAAAGAGCAGCTGCCCACCATTGTGATTTGCAGCTGTTTCCTCAAGCTCCAGGAGAAGCCTTTAAAAAAAAAAAAAAAAAGTAAGAACTAGCTTTTATCTTAGCATGGGTCAGGGCAAGTGCCCACATGACTGATAAATAAGAGTATAGTACTGTCATGAAACACCCTCTTCTACAGTACAAACCTCATAGGGCAGATGTTAATTCCATAATGAATTAAAGGCTGTTACTACTCTTTAGAAGACAAGAGTACAAGATGGAGAGAGAAGACAACCTTATTTCTGAGTCTTTTCAATCCATTTTAGTTTTCTGTGTGACCTTGAGCCAACCTGATTCTGGTAGTTCCATAGCAGGCCAGTTACACACCTGAACCAGAATGACTAGGAATGCGCAGGTTCTGCCAGTGGAAAGAATCATACCATCACAAACTGACTTGAGTAGGAGAAGACTTAAAAATCATCAAGTTCCAACCCCCTGCCATGGGCAGGGACAAATTCCACTAGACCAGGTTGCTCAGAGCTCCATCTATCCTGGCCTTGAACACTTCCAGGGAGGGAGCATCCACAACTCCTATGGGCAACCTGTGCCAGTGCCTCACCATGCTCTTCATAATACCTAATCTAAACCTTTCCCCCTTGTCCTGTCACTACATGCTCTTGTAGATGGACTCTGCCCATCTTTCTTGTAGGCTCCCTTCAGGTACTGGAAGGCTGCAATGAGGTCACCCCAAAGCATTTTCTTTCCTAGGCTGAACACTCCCAATTCTCTCAGCCTGTCCTTATAGGAGAGGTGCTTCATTCCTTTGATGATCTTAGTGGCCTCCACTGAACTCTCCAACAGATCTGTGTTCTGTGCTGGGGACCTCAGAGCTGGATGTAGTACTGCAGTTGGGACCTCCTGTAAGTGAAGCAGAGGAGCAGAATCCCTTCCCTTGGCCTGCTGCCACAAATCTTTGGATGCAGCCCAGGATATGTTTGGCTTTCTCAGCTGCAAGCTCACATTGCTGGATTATATCCAGCCCCTCACCTACTAGCACCCTCAAGTCTCCCTTGGCAGGGCTGCTGTCAATACCCAGCCTGTGTTGATACTGGGGGTTGAACAGGGACAGAGAAAAACGATTTCTCATCATGGCATACAGTAGCATTCAACATAAACTTTACCTTTCAGAGCTTGGGTCAATTTTGTTGGCATCAGATGCCAAAACCTTCAATTCACTGATCCTGATCTTTTCCACTCAGTTCTTAGCCATGTGTGAGTAACAGATATAAAACTCCCCATTGTCCTTCTGCTTGGGGTGGAAGCCCCTCTTATCCCCTAGCCATGGGGTAGCCAGCACTAGGCTCTGAATATCCAGGAATGGCTCCTCCAGCCAGCTGCCATTGGGTAGGTACACCCAGACAAGGCCCAGCTGCTCGGCTATGAAGACGCAGTGGGTCCCGTCAGCAGTGCAGGCAATCAGCACTGGGTTCCTCAGGCCACTGGCAACCTCAGCCAGGCACAGCTGGACACAGCCCCCACACTCCTCCAGCACCAAGCCCAGGCTGCAGCTCAGGGACGAGTTCTGCAGCACCTGGGGGAAACAGTAGTCCTCATCCTGGAGCTGCAGGAGGCTGCAGAAGTGGGTCCTGTTCGTCTTGCAGCACTCCTGGATGTGCTTGTCACCAGTCAGCAGGCAGATGGCAGAGTAGCAGTGGAGGTGAAACTCAGAGCAGTAGTCAATACAAAGTCCTGGGAGGCTTCTCAGCGGGGTCTGTGGGTTTTCTGCATCATAGAGATGTGCAGCATATGGAGAACATTCATAGAAAATAAAGGAAACTAAAGATGTGGCTGTGGACACTCATCCAGGAATAGCTGAGACCAGAAGGGGAGCAAAGTGGTTAATAAAATGAAAAATTATCAATGCAGACAACATAAAGTCACCTATGAAGTGCAGCTGTTAAAAGTCACTCAGAATATGGCCAAAATGGACTTCAACATCAGTAGTAGTTTCCTTTATCAAAGCACAGTCAGCTACATGTAAATCCTTCCCAACAGAAGTACAAATGTGGAGGTTGTGGATTTTCCATTCAGTAAGGTGGGACTGAGCAGTCCAAGGGGGAGATGATCAGAGCAGGGAAACAGTCTAACAGAGCTCTGGAAATATCACAAATGACATTGAGAAGATGGAAAAGGCTCACTTTCCCACAGAAAAAAAATGAGGGAGTATCAGATGAAGGCAATAGGAGCCAGGTTAAAAAAAGCAAGTGAAACGCTGCCAGAAGAGGCTGTAGCTGCTAAAGATGTACATTGATTAAATATACAGGCTAAATTAATCTGATACATGCACGGTATTACTGAAGCAGACTGTAGGTGAGATTTAAAACTGATTCAAGTATGTAAATACCATCTCATGCAATTCCTGTAGATATTGACTCTACCTCTGATCATCAGGAAAAAAATACTGCAGGCAACATTTTCATGTGTTACAGATCTAAAATTATGTTCCTTCGAATACCTTTAAGTGTTTAGCTGTGTAAAATGTAGGATAAATTTTGAAAATCAAGCATTGTGTTTGAATTTGTACCTAAATTTAAACTCATCTTGTGAACATTCTGGGCCAGAACTTCTGTAAAATGTTTCCATTAAGATCCCACCTCTATTTTAATCAGCACAAAGTTGCAGAACTTAAAGCAGAAGAGGCTACATTCTACAGAAAAATTATGTTGCTTGTTTTCATGCCAGCAGCCCAAAATCAATTTATCCAGAACTTTTATTTGATGGAGATGGAAGAGGGCAAGTACATGTACAGTCCAGGAATGTAACTATTACATTAGTAACTTTTCTGCCTCGTTAAACAAGTTAGCTTCTGTTATAAAAGATCAACAAAAAGCCAAATTAATGAATGCAAAAGATTTTATTTTCGCAACCAAAATATGGTCCTCAAAACCACAGTCAAAGAGACAGCATTGAGCCCGGGATCAGCTCTGGGTGAACCTAGATCTGACCTCTATCGTACCGGATCTCCCCCATTCACAAATGCCATCTCCAGCGGGACTGTTTTATACAGTTTTTTATGCCTGAGGCAGAGGTGCCCCAATTTCTTTTGTAACCCTGCATATGTATGAACGTTTCTTTCACTGTGCAGGGCTGGACAATTGCTGTTTCCTGGGTAATGGCAGGTGCTGATCATGTCAGGGGGTGTATTCAGATGTATGTTTCTCGAGGACTTCGGGTATCTTAATTGATGATATCTATCAAGTGCTGGTTGTCCTTGGGTGTTCCCTGATGGTTCCGGGGGAAGCCCATCTCCGTGCCAGCCATGTTCTTTTATTAGTTAATGAGGCATTCTTCTCCTGCAGCCACCAGGAGTTTCCTAATTCCAGTGTGGTAATCTGTCTCCAGGTTGTCCGTGGTCAGAGGCTTGCTGGATGTTAAATTAATTTTACAATTTTTATTTTATACATCTTCCCCTTAAGAATTAATTACTTTACATTACATATTACACTTGTTTAAACAGAATTTTAAAATCTGGGCAGTTATACAAGCATTGAAATTAATTTTTTTTTTGTCTAAGTAGCAGCCTTTCCAGGATATCTAATACGAAGACTACAGACCCTGATTCCAAACTTCACAAGCAAGTTGTTCTCTTTGCTCACAGCAACACCCAGGAGTTTTTGCCCAGAACAGGTATCACTTGTAAAGAGTAAAGCCCCTGAATCTTTTGGATGGTGTAGGAGGTTTCTCACTTTTCATTGCTGCCATTTGGTTACCAGAAAGCAGCACAGAATGACCTGGTTTCTGGTGCTTCCACATCACATCTGCAAGGAATCTGTCCCTCTTCCTAAACCTAAACTCTTCAGCCTTGCAAAGGGGAGCCAAGTCCCCCAGGCCTGTCCTTGCAGTCTGACCCCAGTCCCAGCTGGCAGAACCAAACCATTCCTTGTTGCAGCATGTCAGGGTGGTAGAAACACTGCAGCCTTCTTGAAACATCTCCTTCAGAAGCCTCTCAGAGTAAGGCCACAAGAGCAGCCATTTCAAGTCCATGCACACACACATGCCATAGATAGCTCAGCAGAGGAAAGACAGGAAGGATCTTTGCATGATATATTGCAGTGAGGGTTTACTGCATCCACCACGCCAAAGGGACAAGAGACAAAAGACTAAACCATGTGGTCTGCATGACTTAAGAATGGGGTCAGTGACCAGTAACCTGAGGGCACAGGGGCTGACAAAGGGCAGAGCAAAGGGCAGCAATCTGTAGGGGGGAGGAGGGATGAATAATTGGAGTGGGCAGTGTCAACTGGCCAATGGGAGAGGCAATCTAGTGTAGATTGGCAGTAGTGCTGCAGAGCACCATGGGCTGAGTCCCCTCTAGCAGCACAGATGGGCAAAACTCTATGATATATTCTTCCAAGGCAAGGCCCTGGGGATTCCCCTGAGGGGGAAGCACCGCAACTCCCTTGTTTTTTCTTACTATGAAAACTTCCCCATTGGATCTCTGCAGACACTTAACTAAACAGGAAAACATAAGTAAAAACAATGATTACAACCCAAAAATTCCTTAAACAAACGATGAAACCCACCCTGTCAACCCCCATTGTCCAAAAAGTTCATTGATGTAAACTGAGTTCTTAACTTTTAACTGAGTAAACTGATGTAAACAGAGTTCTTCTTAATTTTACTTGCTCCTTCAGCTTCTGGATATTTGCGTGGATAGATGCTGAGTATGTGAAAAATGCCAATCACTTGTTTTTAAAATTTTAAAAGTTTAATAATAATAAAATGGTTATAAAAATAGCAATATAATTAGAGTAATAATAATTTGAACAATTTGGATTAGGACAATATGAGACAATAAAAACAAAGAGTTACGGACTTCTGGGTACCTTTATCTGGGCAAAATAAGCCTAAAAAAGGACACCCGTTAACAGAGGATTAACCCTTAAAAGCAATAGCCTGTTGCATATTCATACACCTCATACATGATGCATAAATTCCATTCAAACAAAGGATTCTGTCTGGTCAGTGTCAGCTTCTTCCTCTTAATCCTCACGGCATATTCAAGGCTGAGCGGGGTGGGAAGAAGTTAGTTTCTTCTGATAAGACAGCAATAAATTATTTTTATCTGAAAGATTTAGGTGTCCAGTGGCTGCTATTTCCGTGCAAATCCTTTCTTTAAAAAAGTATCATTCATAGCATAGTTTCTATTTTAACATTATGTTATAACATAAAACTATATTTAACATACTACTTGAGAAAATTAATACAGCATAACTTTCTAACATAACACATATAATATTCATTTTAATATTTGCAAGAAGCCAATCATAAAATACACATTTTTCACAAGTACAAAGAAAGGTTAAAGCAGTACATCTTTTCAAAGTTTTGACAGCTATGTCCAAGGGTGAGCAGTGAAAAGTCTATTGCTGCTTGGTTTTATAATGATACATGCATAGTGTTATTAGCATTTGTTAGCAGCTCACTCAATGCTTAGGGTGTACCATTGTTTTGCTTACTTAGCTAGCACCTTTAATTCTCTTAGCATTTATTGAGTTTTTGTAGGAGCAACCCCAGGGGCCAATACTGAGGCTGCTATTTTCTTTTTTTCTACCTCAAGAGTCAATTTCAGTTTTGCAGTCAGATTTAAACTGATGGACAAATCTGCTGTGCTTAATTTTTTGGTCACAAATTATGGCAAAGTCAGGTGCTAGCATAGCAGGCTTCCCCAAAGTTACAGGGTGTTTTGGCCATGGAACCGTTTATTTGCTGGTGGGGAGTAAGATTTCAAAGAGGCTGTATAATTTAGTAAAGAGTGAGTATTTGCAAATTTCAATTTCATAGATTTGTTACGTCCAAAGTACATAGAGAGACAAAATTGTATTTAATTACACGAGTGCTGCACATCTCTTAGGAAGGCTGTTAGAGGCTTCTGCATCTTTGCTTTTCAACAGCTCTAAAGACTCGTTATTCTTCAGACAAAATTACTTGGATTTTATAACTATCCTTATAAAAAGGAGGCACTGTTGAGCTATTAGGATATAACAGAATTTTGAAAACTGAAAGCATTCTTAAAATCTCACAAGAAATAGCTATTAAAAAAGCTGGTTTTTTTGTTGGGGTTTTTTTTATTATTATTATTATTTGTGTGTGTTTGAGCAATTGGATGTTGGTATATATCCTTACATGAAATTCACACATATAAAACAAGGAGTCTTATACACTTATGAAGTAGTGGAGGGACATTTTCTTTGATGAACATCTGTGAATACAGTCTTTTTCTTTCTTCCATGCCACATGAGCTTGGGTTTTTTTGCAGTCTCGGAGGCTCAGGAGAAGGGTCTTTGGGTGCTGTATTTGGCTGTTCGATGCACCTCTTAATGCTTATGCCTGTAGATACTGAAGCATACACTGTCTCCGAGGTTATTGATGGGGAGGGGTTATTGATATCTGAAATGGGTGTGTTTTGATCAGGGTCAGTCTCACTTCCAGCATGGGAACCGGGAGTGACCAGATTGGAGAGGAGTGGGGGCACGGTGCCGGCAGGGGAAAAGAACCCAGCCTGGCAGCGGCGGCCACAGGACCCACAGCATCTGAGACGGACAACATGGGAGCCGAGCCAGCCACAGGCAGAGCGGAGCTTGGCTCTAGAGGGACAGGAAGATCAGATGCAGGCCCAGGGCCAGGAGGACACAGAGCAAAGGCAGGCAGGGGTGGAGCGGGACAGAGAACGGGCCCTGTGCCCCCCCACCAGGGGAGTGAGGAAATTTGAGAGGCAGGGGCAGCTTCATTAACAGGTGATGGGAGACAGGACAGGTG